CAAGACCACATCAACATAAAATGGGAGGCAGTCCAAATAAAATCTGAACTCACCATGCAATCCTCGAGGAGAGAGATCTTGAAGCAACGACCCACATTCGGTCACAAAACCGACAGCAACTTCAACACTATCATCAGTCGGCTTTTCCAGCAGCAATGCCAGCAGCTCAAGGGCAATAAGCTCGTGCACCACCTGCTGGTTCACCAGGTGCGCAGTAAATTTGACCATAGCAAGTAATCTCGGCTGCGGGAAGATCCAATCAGAACACATAAAGACCATATACAAAATGCAGCAAATTAGATCCCAGAAAGGAGAAAAAAAGACACAAACCTTATCATTACGCTTGTACGACGCCTGAAGTTGCTCCATTATCCTCCGCAGCAAAAGATGACCAACCTCTGGGAACTTGGTGTTCACCACAGCAACCATGGCTGCAATCACGTCCGTGAAGCCCGGAGAAGCCAACTGGGACTTCATGCACGACTGACAGAACAGACCCCTCCCACGTATCAGATTCTCAGCAAAAAGCTCAGGAATTATATTCTTTATATTACTGGCGTTCACTTTGTTCACAATCCCGTTGATACTCTTCTTCAACGCATCCCATGTCATCCTCTGATAATCGAGGCTACTTTTGCCCTGGATATCCCCCATTATTCTTGCCAGTTTGAAAGGCAGAATGTATTCCTCTCGCAAGAGCGCCGGATATCTCAGATCCGCCTCGAACGAACTCCGCCGGATTACCAGAGATGCGGCGGGATCTGAAGAGACCGATGGATGCGACTCGGCAGGACTCCAATTTTCGTGCTTTTGTGGGTTTATAAGCTACTTTCAATACCAAAATAATTAGGAATATCTATTAGATTTTCTTCCAATTCTATGATAATTAGGAATATCTATTGGATTTACTTCCAATCCTAACATAATTAGGAATATCTATATACTACTAACGACCGTGAATTACACGGTTTATTAAAATCTAAAATTAATGAGAAAAAGTAATTGAAAATTTCAATATCTTTTATAAAAACTAGTACGTACCCCGTGCGATGCACGAACTGTATTTATTTTGGTAAAATTTATAATTGAAGGCTATTAATCAATAAGTTATAATACATAGAACATTTGTTTAGGTAATCGTAAAATGATCATCATGAAAAAATCATACATTATTAAAAAGTTCTTTGTTTTTCCATACGAAATTATTTTTCACTTGGTAACCGTAAATCGATATTTACCAAGATTGCTCTCCACTTGGTAATTGTGAATTGCATACACACCTCATTCCTTCATTTTTTTGTTGTTTTTCGGAATGTTAACACCATGAAATAAAACTATAGTGAAAATATGTAATATTGTGATATATACTAAAGATATGATTATCTGGTGAAGTTTAATTTTATATCGCGTATAAGAAAAATTGTTACCTTAAAGTTAAAGTGTGGATATTGAGTATATTTTTTTTTTTGTCAGTCATTCTCTTTTTTTTATGCCAAATTCATTTCAAAAATTGAGAACGATTTTGTTTTGTTATGTTTTAACAGAGATTTGAAATTTTGGTGGTATCTTTTGTAAAACATATTTATAAAAATAATTACGTTTAAAAAAGCAACAACGATATTTTATCATTTATAGATAAAAAATAATTAAATGAATCGGAGGACATGTAAATCACGATTTTTAAATGAAAAATATGTTTCATAAAAAAAGTGATAAGAAAATGATTCAAAATGATAAAAAGAAAATCGTATATTATAACAAAAAGATGTGTACATGAGTAGTGGATTAGTGAATCGAAAATTGTGGCAATTTTAAAAAATATGTTAACATGATTGAAATGAAATCTTTAGGATATTTTTTACTTTTAGTTAAGTTTCATATATTGCATAACTATAAATGAAAAAAATAAAATATTTAAAGTTCAAATAGGCGATTTATTTATATATATATAATTAAGTGTACAGTCCAAATAATTAAATTTTATTTAGCATTTATATTGTTAATATTGAACCGTGATTATTGTAAAATCCAACTCTCATTTTTACGGTAAATTTATATTATATTAAAATAAATTGATATGTCTAAAAAAGATATGAATTGAATTAAAAAGATTGAATCATGGTTAAATATCTTGATATATAATTATACTGTTTTTAAAAAGATATTCCATAACATTTGTTTCCATAATAATACTGCTTTTAAATATAATTGATTCCAAATAGCTGGATTTAGTATTTAATCAAATATTATGGAATATATTTTTAGAAATATCTAATTATTAATTTATTTTTTGTTTCTTATTTATATTTTATTTTTATTGGTGCCAATTGACAATATTATATTTGATCACATTGTGCACGCAGATAGTTTTCTAGATATAAAGTTGTGAACTAAACAAATATCTTATGTGGTTCACAAACCATATAAACAATTGACATTTGTCAAAATTTATGTGATAACAACATTTATGCATTGTAAATACTCTTATTTTGTTTTAAATAATTTCAAATATACTTCTATCCATTCCAAATAAAATTCACACTACTTAAATTCGAACATTTCGCACCAAAAATAAATCACCCACTTTAAAGAGGCCAAGGGCCTAGTCTAAGACTTGCCGGGGAGACGAGACTCCCAACCTATCATGCTCAATCCAAGAATCTAGTCCCGGGGGATGAGAAGACAATATATGAAGTCCGAGAGGGTATGAAGCCGCGAGATGGGCAACGAAATCCGCCGCACAATTCGCTTCTCGGTACACATGTTGAACCTTTACTTCCCATTCTCGACACAAAAGTTCATGAATGGCGCGCACCAGATCACCGTGTTGACCGACCTCCCCATCTGAGGAAGCCACCATCCGCGTAACACGTAAATTATCAACCTCAATCACCACCCTCCGGAAACCTCGGTCGCACGCTAAACTCAGCCCGTGTGTCAGACCCAACAGCTCCGCCTCCAAAACCGTACCTGCTCCAATATTCATAACAAAGCCACCGAGCCAATGTCCCAGGTTTCGGTCGGTTAACTAAATTGTGTGCACCCCTACTATCACCTAACACTTACACATAGAATTAATAAGCATAAAAAATTAACAAGCTTTTAACAACCCAGCTTTTTCTGGTTGATTTTTATATGTATAATGTTTTGTTCGTGTAATAATATTTAATTTATTAAATATTAGTTATTAATTGATGATATAAGATAGAATGTGTATTACCGTATTACTAATTTGCTACTACAAATATATTTAAATAAGGATTTTTAAGTAGTTCATTTTTTAATAAAAGTTATAAGATAGAGTGGATATTAGTATATTACTGATTTGTCATTAAAAATATGTCAAAGTAAGAGTTTCTTTAGGCAGTTCATTTTTTTACAAAATTACTCGTTCTTTTATAATAGTATAGATAATAAATTTTAAGATGAGATTGAAAAATGTGAAAATGAAATAATGTGATATCTCTAGCGAAAAGGTGGTTAAAAAAATTAGCTAAATAAGATCTTATTGTCAGGACAATTGAATACATTTGGATAGTTTGTGAGCTATAGAATTAATATGTTCACTTGAACCACTCGTCGGGGTTCGCCATTGGTGAGTTGCTCGGACCGGCGAGGCGTGAGCTGTGGTCGCCAAAGAAGCGCGACTTGGGCTCGAGCTGGCGTGAAACGGCAGGGTCTACTGGCGGTCGGAGTTGGTTCGACAATAAGAGCTTGGGATTGAGTTGTGGGGTCACGATCGAGTGCTTAGCCGGAGCTCATGTGAGGTGGTCGTGACTCGCCGGCGGGAAGGAGCTAAGCGTTGTGGTTCACCGATGAAGGTGGTCGCGACAAGGGCTCGGCTCGTGGGTACAACAGTTGGCCGTGGCGTGTGAGCTCGGGTCGCGGGGTTCTCGGGTTCGGTTCGCCGGCGTTGAGGTCGCTGGACGGCGGCTCGCCGGAGCTGTGGGGATGGTGGCCGGAATTTGAATGAAAGTGGATATGGAGTGGTGGATCTTGAACTATGGATAAGTGAGTGGTAGGTCGAAGATGATGGTGTTGTCTATTTGTACTAGAGCATGTGCTAGGGTTTCTTGTCATCTTGGGCTTTTAAAATCAGGCCTAGGATTAAGTCGACTTGGGCTCGATTATTTAATCGACTCGGCTTGGAAAATTAAAATGTTCGGTCATATTAAATATGACGGCCATGTAAAAATAAATTCAACTTGGATCGAATAAATAATGTTGGCTCGGTAATTGAAATAATTGGGGCGATTGGCCGGAATTTAAAATGGCGCACTTAATTAGGCCCGAAAATTGGGCTTGTTTGGGAATTAAATAAATTCCCGACTTTTCTGATACTCGATTAAATTATGAACCAAGACTTAGACTTATTACTATTTTTATCTTATTTCTGAAATAAAAATTCGCATGTTTTCTCCATGGCTTAGACTTAGAACTTAATAAGTTATGCGATTAATAATAATTAAATATGGCATAATTATGAACTTACTATTCCTGGAAAATAAAGTCGAGCCAAATATATAAATCTTGTTCTAGGCTTACATTATATATGGAAGTAGGATAAGTAAGATTTCGTATAAGGTTTTTGTTTAGAAATCCACCAAATCTTATAAAATCTTAATCAATCTGAGTCTCAAATAAATTAAATACCTCATTATTTTGTAAGATTTTTGAAAATCTCAATTGAATATCCCAGAATTTTTAAAAGTCTCAACAAATTTAAATTGAATACACTAAGATTTCTAAAGTCTTAAAAAATTATTAAAAATTCTAATTGAATACACCTCATCGATATCACACGTCTACCAGTTGTCAACTTGTCATGCACATAAATCCCCCCAAAACCCTTGGAATTTCTCAGAGAAAATTACTCAAAACACTATCAATTAGGCTTTTTATTACATATTAAATATCAATTTAAAAATTATTGCAGTATTAAACAGAATCTACCTTTTATTTGCAGATATGCCACAAAAGTTACTTATACAGTTTTTTTGAACGAAAACGCTCCCCGATAAAAAAGGTAATGATAAATCTTCATTCTCTCTCCCACAACTATATTGCGTCTGATTTGTTTCAAACCCTATATTCTCTCAATCTCAACAACAATGGCGAAGACAAAATTTGGGAGAAGCCCATCTGTCGGGGACGAAAATTTCACACATCGGAGGTCGAGTTCCCGTCTACGGGATATCAATTTAAACAAGCACCCATCTCCTGTGCAAATAAAACTGCGGTTCGACAAGAAAGTGGCGAGATCTGGAAAAAATATGAAGTTATCGGATTCCGATTTTGAGGACGAAATTCAAGCCGATGTGAGTGACAGTGAAGAATGTTCCGTCGACGAAGAAGAAGACGACAAAGTAATTGAAGAAAAATCTAAGAAACGCAAAATTCGCGGTCGTCCTCTACATAAACCATGCGCCGATTCGAGAAATCCCGTTGAAGAATTGAACATAAGTGAAAGCTTTAAGGTAATTCTTCTGTTTTTTTCGAATTTCATTTTTTCCCTCTGATTATGTCTATAATTATTATATGAATGTGTTTCATGTTTGTACTCAGTGTGTTGATTTTCAATTTAAACCATTTTTTTGCTTTTCTGTATAGTCATATTCAATGCAGCAGCAAAAGGTCATAGTGAAATTCATTGT